GACAGGGATCCATTAGTATAGCACTCACTGTTACGCTAGTATGAACCTCTGTGTTTCCCTGCTGCCTGATTTTCATGCGGTGCGATTATGTGCATGAGCTGGCACCCTGGTTCGATGTCTGCAGCTACCGTGAGAAAGTCCGAGAGATGGCAACGGGGAACCAAAATCAGGCAAACCCAACGTTGTAAATCAATGCCTAATTGTTGGTGAATACGAAGATTCTAACGACATTTTATTTCGTTACTTCTAGGACAATTGCTGTTACTCAAGCATATAAGCGGTAGGTGATCATGACAGTGGGGAAAACACTTGGAAACTCGTCGTAACTAATTACTTTAATTATCAGTTTTAGGACCTTGTCATCACTGGCGAAATGTTAAAAGTAAGTTACTGAGGGTAGGAAGCAAGTGCTATGCAGCAGGGGCGCTGCATAGGGTGTATGTCCTCGCAGTGGTACTGCGAACTGTACCCTGGTAACTATCTGATATGGTTAGTTAGGTTAGGGTTCGGGTTTAGGGTTAGGGTTAGGGAGTATGGCGTAGGCGACTGCGCCTAGATGTCGTTAGTGGAGTCGGCGGGTACGTGTCCGCATATTAGATAGTACCAGGGTACGTTTCGCGGTATATTCCGGACCGTACCCTGGGGGACGTAAGACCCTCTCAGCAGCAGTGGGCCTTATCACCATGTTCAGGTCCGAAATGCTGGTCGTGTTAGCGAGAAAGCAACAGGCGGCTGTGACAGCATCGCCAGCCTGCTAGTAAGGAGCGGCATTTGCTACAAATGTGTGTAACCCTCGCGGTGTGGGTCCACTCTGAGGACGTTGGTGCGAACGCAACTGCAGTGCACAGCGAACCAGGATGAGTTGCTCTGCCGCACGTCCTCTCGTCCAGTCGTGCAGCGCCCCAAGCCTGTCTTCGTTGTGTACACATCAGCTGCCTGTGGCATGCCAGTAATGGCAACAAACTCTGGGGCAGGTGAGAGCAACGAGCAAGATCAGCTATAGTGCTACCACTATACAACCATACCCTGGCATAGGATGGCCAGTAAGATCAAATGTGACCTGTCCCAAATTAATTGCAATGAAAAAGAAGAGGAAAAAAAGGAGTAAAATTGTAGGACTCTGGACATCCTGGCTTATACGACATTGAGGCAACGAGCATACTCGCATTACGCATCGGTAGTAACTCTCTTTATCACATTATATTGGATAGCTTTAGTACTTCCATGGGGCTCAAGAACATCATAGCACGCTTCAACCATTATGGAACCGAGATGTACACGGTGGTCCACATCTTGAGAATTATATAATCAAGAATATATGGCAGCGGGTAGGAGAAGTTAGTATGTGGAAAATTTACAGGCGCACGCGGGCCTGGTAGGTAAGGGATTTTACAGGCCCGCCAGGCCAAATTTTTACAGGCCGGAGACAGTGTTCGGCAATGGCTAGGGTGGAATTTTCTACCCGGACCGTCGTGCTTGCTAGTATTAGAAAGTGTCAGGCCGAAGCCTTAAGAATACGAGCATTAGGCCCACGCGCCGACCTGGTAGGATTTCGAGCGCCATGGTATACTCATCGTACACCATGAAGCCGGTCATCCGCTCAGCATCCTCATCTTGTAGTACTTTCATCCAGAGCAGCACCTGCCCTCTCCAACTCCCTGTAGATTGAATCATCGAATGCACGCATGGGAAGCCGGTGGACAGGCAGGACGTGCCTATGCCGCATGAAACATCAAGTGTCACATCAGCACAGTTAATAAAGTGGGCTTAACATTTGGAAACCATGGCCATGGTCATGCCCCTGGGCAGAGGCTATTAATCTGTGAATGTATGGGGGGCACACTATCGCATAGAGGCAATTTCCGTGTAATGGGGGAAGCACATTAGAGTAGACTATATCTAGAGGGTTATGGTGATGGCTACCTCTGACACAATATGTGACGTATTAAATATCTATTTATTTGCTGATAATGAATTAAACATTTTTATGATCACACAGCGCTATTTTTTTGTTTTTTATGATGCTTTCTTTATTAAAACATGGCAGTACCATGCTTACAGAAGAACAAGTCATTGTGAAACTTAACGGTGCGCTAGCAATGTCTGTGAGGTTGGACGGGCAAACTCAAGGACTTCCGCCGCGACGCTGGCATTTGATCTAAAGCTACTTCGCTTGGTTTTTCTGTCTGGTCATGCAGCATTGAAGACACTATCATGCATCTGTCCACATCATCATATGCAAGTAGTAGACAGTCCTGTGTGCTTCCTGCATGTCTACTACGAATTATCAGCAAGTTTCCCTTCCCAGAGAAGCAGGCAGAGGCAGTTGTACCCACGTGTATAGGCAAGCCATCGCTTGCTGAGAACGATGCCTCAAGTAGGTTCAGTACAGTCCGAGGCTTGCATCGGCCAGTATGACAGGGAGAGGTGGTATTTAAACATGCTCTGTCTTAAGCGATAGTGCCTGGATTCTTTTCGCTCTGTTGGATGAAGGTGGGTGCTTTGCTTAGCAACGTTACCCTGAGGGCTCGGCTTCTGCCTTCGTATTTCCAAAGTCATCATGTGCATGGCTCTCTTGTTCGAAGATACCATATCAGTCTGAGATTGTCCTGTGGTGGTCTGCCTGTCTGTAGGGCCTTGTATCCCAGATGCCAAGGAAGTGTATTGGCTGACCCCAGAGCCTCAAGGTTCATATCAGTGATGGCTTCCCTTCTGTAACAGCTCATCGGTTCTTGAGACGTTGCCCAGTGGGTTCAGTTACATCCTATGCCTGCTATTCTGTCAGATGATCAGGGAAAGGTTGGTATTGACTTGTCGGGGTTGTCCGTTCGTTGACGTGCCTGGTATTCTTTTCCTCTGTAGATTAAGGGGGTTTCTCGTCATACGTTTACCTCCTTGTAGGGCCTGGTCTGCCTCAGTAGTTCTCAGTCATCTGATGCGTGTGGCTCTCCCCTTGTCTGAAAACCAGGTTCCTGCTGTGCCGCTTATTGGTGGCCGTTTTTTAACTCGCCTCGGCAACGTGGGGCACGTTCTACCGAACACAAGACACTTGATTCACAGCCGTAGCTCGTGTTGCAAAGCGCAGCAGCTGGCAGCTTGTGGGGTGGGGATGCATCGAGGGATGCATCAGGCGTAACTTCTTCACATCGGATCGTACGCACGGTCTTCTGATCGCGGGGGTTTTGCGCACGCTTTGTCGCAGGAGTCTCTCACAGTTTCACGTCGCTACCTCGCGCAGGGTGAGTACATCATCCCGCAACTGCCCCACCTGGTGTGCTGAGTCAGCGGAGAGCTCGGCACGCACGGGACTCTCACGACGCGTGGTCGTCGACGGCATCTGCGGAGAGTAGAAGACGAGCGGTCGCTTCGCAAACGGATCGCTCTCCCCGAGGCAGTCGTTTGACGGCGCCTCTGTGTCGCAGACGTTACGCGAGGGCGTCTCGCTCGCCGTACCCGCGCGCCCGTATCTGGGTATCTCCCCACCGGAACTAACGATTGGTGAAAGGCTCACTACATTTGCAGGACTGACACTATCTAAATGCAGGAGAAGGAGCCACGAATGAATCGTCTACGCTGGCAACAATGTCAGTGACGTTGATGCATGAGAACCCGATGGATTTTCTTGCAAAACACGCTGAAATTCCGCTTCGCTCCAAATTGAGCATTGCTGGTCCCAGACTGGCGGCCAATCCAAAGATCGACGTTGCTACAGTGGCGCGCTCTCTCGGCCGCGTCGATTCTTCACGCTGATCGAGACACACTGCTGGAAAGAACAGCCGAGCATGCTTCTTCCAACGGAGGTTGCCATCGCATGATTTCCTTCTCTGACGACCGGCTTGAACTGCATTCCTGGCGTCGCCATAGACGATGTTCAGATTTGGGCTGGCCTGACTAGCAGCTGGCGAGACACTCCTGTAATGATGGCGACCGTCTCAGCCCACTGGTTCTGCCTGAGGGAGTGTTCCGGGTAGTTTTCGCTGAGGCGACTGGCAAGCTGGTGGGAGATCGCTTGTGCAGAGCCTGCATCACTGGTGCTTCCTCTGATATGGCCTTCCCAATCGATGCCCAGTTTGGCCTTTCGGCATTGGCTCGTGTGTGTAACATGGCTTGAAACACGAGCGGCTGAATCAGCCGCATTACCCGTGTTTCGGGTGTTCGCCGCCGTCCGGCTTATCCCAGAATGCTCCGCTTAACGTCCCTCATGTGAGCAGACACCGGCACTCGGCATCTGCATTTCGGCATAGGCTTCCGTGTCATCTCCTAGATTCGACAATGGATGCGTAGGTTTCTGCAGAGCCTATTGAGTGGATGCACCAAAGCCAAGACGTGAAACGAGATCACGTGGTCGCGTCGGCGTCGGCGGCGGGCAATGGCACAGTGGGCCTGAGTGTGCTGTCCTGTCAACAGCTATACTGCTGCGTCGCAAGACAAGCGCTCACTGTCGTGGCATTGTGTTGTCAGCGGCTGATTGTGGGCCCGCTGTTAGGGATGGAAACTTCGAGTCGAGGTAAGTGCTCCCTCTCATGGAGACGTCGGCGATCCCCCCCGCGGCGACGCGGTGACCGTCGGAGGGCACGGTTCAGATGGTTTTTTCGAGTGCCTGCGTTGCGGTGTTCTGCTGCACTATTGGTGACATTTATCTTTCCTCGTCAAGATGTGGGCTTCGCCTAAGCAGCTCCCTGTGCTTTTCGGAGTGTCTCGTGTATGGAAGGAGTTGGCGCCGTGTTTTTCCTCTTGCACATCTGTAGGTTGCACTTTTTTGCTCTAGGGTACAGCGTGGATCTGCTCTTGGCATCCTGTCGCTCACAATGAGAGCCGATGTTGCCAGAAACACAAAGTTAAGTCCACGCCAGGACTTGGTAGGTGAAAAGGAGGAATAGTGTTTTGATTGGTGACGTCGTCGCGCTCTTTTGCTGTAGCCAGGTAGCAGCCTGCAGACTTGCAAAGTTTGCTGAGGGTAAGCAGTAGTTGAGTTCCATGTCAAAATCAACCCGCTCTGCTCGGTTCTGTTAGGGTGCATACAGCCCGTCGTCCTGTTGTGCACACTGCTGTGATGTTTCGGGATCTCATGCCCTCTTCGGTTTTTACGTCCAGAGACTGATTCCGCACCTCTGCACACAGTCAACTCCATTTTGTCATCGTCATGGAAACCAATGGTCTTGTTGTCATTGTTGGTAGGGGAAAACACCTGATTTCTCGAGTGAAACTGCTCTAAATTTAAGTTGGTGTTGTCTTCTAAAACTCTTTCAACATTGTTGTCACCAGGCTTCATGTTGGCCTCTTCATTAGAGGAATATGTTGGGCCACCAAGAGAATTATCTGCAACAACATTGATGCCATCCTGTAGACTTTGTGAAGTCTGCTGTGGTAAGCAAGTAGTGAGTTCCATGTCAAATTCATCCTGCTGGGTTTTATTAGGATCATACATCCTTGTTCTGTTTCCAACACTTCCTGTTGGTGGCTTAGGTATCTCAATGCTTGTTCCAGGTCTGACCAGAGACTGATTCCCTCTGCATGCAGTCAATTCCATGAGTTCATCACCATGGAAACGAATTGTCTTGTTGTCATCGTTGGTAGGTGAAAACACAGCTGGATTTTCTAAGGAAGAATCAGGGGGATTACCTACGACAACATTGACGCCATCCTGTAGACTTTGTGAAGTCTGCTGTGGCAAGCAAGTAGTTAGATCCATGTCAAATTCACCCTGCTGGGTTTTGTTAGGATCATACACCCTCGTCCTGTTTCCAACACTGCCTGTTGATGGGTTAGGGATCTCAATGCTTGCTTCAGGTTTAGCCAGAGACTGATCCCCTATGCACACAGTCAACTCCATTTTGTCATCGTCATGGAAACGAATGGTCTTGTTGTCATCGTTGGTAGGTGAATACACAGCTGGATTTTCTGAGGAAGAGCCAGGATCACCTACGACAACATTGACGCCATCCTGTAGACTTTGCGAAATCTGCTGATGTAAGCAAGTAGTGAGTTCCATGTCAAGTTCACCTTGCTGGGTTCTGTTGGGATCATACACCCTCGTCCTGTTTCCAACACTGCCTGTTGGTGGCTTAGGTATCTCAATGCTTGCTCCAGGTTTAGCAGCGGCGGCGTGTGTTTACAGTTGAAACGCTCCAAGTGCCTGTGGCTGTGGCCGCAGGGACTGTCACTGTGTACAGTGTTACGTGTAGTCGACGATATGGTTATGTACTTCAACTATAACCAATGATACTGGAAGACCAGACTCACTATCAAACAGTTAAGCCCAGTCAGCTCAATACATATTCATATATAGCTACATGAGTCCTCCCTGCAACAAGCTACTAGTAATACTAGTAATAATACACGTTCATGCACGCATGTAATTAGTGGAGGCCGCCATCTTGAGCAAGGTCGCTTCGCACAAATATTTTGATATAATTTTAAAAGTTTTAACAACATATTTTAAGAGTAAAATTCAAAACGACAATTTACATTAACATTTGAAGAGTTGCTGTCATTTAAGTGCATTTTGGCGGGCTAATTGTAGCTTGTTAAGCAATCTTCCCGATTCCAACGATAGTTGGAAAGTGGCGTCATCTGGCTGCCAGAGTTGGTGCTGTTTGTAAATAGTGTGCTGTAGCAGACAGTTGATTTAAATATGCTCTGGCTGTACTGTGAGAGTTGAGTAGGTCAACTGAATCCTGCTGCCTGTGATCTACCCCGATATTTGCGAAAATGAGATCCGGTCCCAAACTGGGATTGCACCAATATTTGATCAACTGAACCAGACCATTGATTAATTTAGAGAAAGCAGGGTTTATATGCACATACTTCTGTAACCCAGGTTCTGATACCGTGTGGGAATAACATTATTATTTACAATCCAACGAATATTGTATGCACTGGCGAGTAGTTGTGCCACAAAACTCTTATTCCACAATAGCTGAAATATAGATAACCAAAAAAGAAATATATTTTCAACATTTATTAATTTAGTTTGAAACATAGCAATACAATCCTAATCCATCTAAAATAGTGGTAGAACTAAAAAAGAAATCAGGTTTAAGGGAGAATTAAAGGAAAAATAAGGAGTACAAGACAATCTATTAGGATGGAGAAAGTTTACAAACTAAGTCACATCAGATTTCATGCCATATTGTTTGGTGTTAACTCCAACATATCATACAGTCACATAATTTTACATGTTAAAGTTGTCATTTCCAATTTGGTAGCAAAAACGTGTTTGAAAAATTCTAACAAAGCTAATACAAAACATTAATTACATTTTTACATTGTACATATACAAGATTGGTGTAAATATACATGAATTGACATTGCTGTAGAGGCACAACTAAAACACATGCCAAACCACCACAAAACAGTACGGTATATAGGAAATTGAGTGATGGACCATGTAACTCGTCTGCTAGCAAAACGATGTGTCAAATGGCACAGCATTGACACAGGATCATTCCTGTCATAGGATACTGTATACATCCCTAACATTGTTCGACCATATGCAAGAATCACTGCCTATTAATTTTGGTATTGTATGTTTCCATAATGAAATGGTGTTATTAACCTCAATTAGAAACGTGACGTTTTCCACCCATTTTCCTTTGCACGAGGTTATATTATAACAACGTTCGAATCAATCGGCCCTTTCATGTAGTGATGCATTTACTCTGTCATACAGGGAACGAAGAGAGCGTGAGCCCTCATCTGTTTGACAAGTGTGAGCACTACAATATTCAAGGCTCATGTTACTCAGGCTGAAGTAGCTGCTAGGAGATGTCCTCAGGATGGGCGCCTTGTGCCGTGGTTGTATAGCATCTGATCAACAATGGTAACCATGTTCACCAGGTAGTTGGATCCTGGTGGTACCTGGGCAAGCGCGTCAAGCACCTTTTCAGTCCTGCGTGAGACAGAAATGACCTGTAACATCTGTGATCTGGGTACACGACTGCACACTGTAGACTGTGCCCGATTCATGTAGGAATAGCAGGCTTCAGCCTGAGATCAGGGTAAAGCATGCATTTGCATTTGTATACACATGGCATGAATATATGACAGAATCCCAAATAGTTGGTGAAGCCTCACATGCAAAAGCACTTAGGTAAAAACTATGTCTATATCTTGCAAAAGTTTGTACATCAGTAGCAGTTAGACCAGCTGAACTATTATTCATCACATAAAGTTAAATATATAAATAAGCATCAACCAAAATAACAATAACAGAAACACGAGCTTCATGGTAGGGAAGACATGATGTTACAGCTTACGTGATGTCCCCTATGTCATGCTGACATTCACAGAAAATTCTCTCCTCAGGGTAGACAACTGGATTGATGTGGAACGTCACAGTGAATTTAGAGTATGCCTGTATGCTCGAGAAATTCACGGACAGCCTGCAAATTACGTGTGCACAAATGAATGAATTAGTACACATTACTTTCCATACATCCCTGCAACGTAGACACTATAGTTTATTGGTTTGGCATAGTAAATAAATGCCCCTACATAAACGCAGGAAATGTGAAGTAGTGCACTTTAATGGAAGGCTGGTTATCATATTTATTCAAAATAAGAGCCTTATTACATTTACTTGCTATAACCATTTGATAGCATAACTTGTACTTGTTATTATAATACACATTGTATATCGTGCAGTGTTCGTAGGAATGTGCAACATGCATTCAATGCTCATATCGCACCTGTTGTCTTGCATGCCGCCAAGGTGAGTAACAAGTATGTTGCTCTCCACTTCCCAGTCTAGGCTCATTGCACCGGCAACGACGCCTGATATGTGCTCCAACACCTACAAGAATATTAAAAATACACAAGTATTATATTTGATGAGACACGAATAAGAGCGGACATCACATTTAAGACAAAAATATTCCATGACAAAGTATTTTCAGTGTTTCAACAGTGCTCTAGCTTACATAACAATTTAGTGTCCACTTCCTACCTTTGGAATGTCTTCTGTAGTTTGGCAGAGCTTACTAAGACTTTCAAGTCGCGATGACTCTGTTACCATTTTGTGCACCAAGTGGCATAATGGGTCTACGTCATCTAGAATTCAGAAAGTGCACCACTTTTTAGCAATTGGTCATTACATAGACACCTTTATAAAGTTGATAATCATCAATTGAAATGAGATTACAAAATTCATAGAAGACCAAACAATTCAATATAATGAAAAAATTGCCACAATTTTATAATTTCAACCCAAATTTTCAGCCAATCAATGAAATTAATGTATTCCGATATCTAAAGTGCATAAACGGTTAAGAGTTGGGCACACAGGTGCCGTTTTGGGGAAACAAGGTAATTTGTACTGGGTCAAGTGTCACAAGAAAGATCCAACCCAGTTTAAAGCCTTTATTACGAGATTTTTGCTCAGAAACACTCAATCCGAAAAAATATACCGTAGCTGAATATAGTCTCACCTGACAGCGGAAATATCACTGATTACACCAACATTATAAACACTAAGATTTTATGCAGTTATAGCATAGAAAAATGGATTTTACCACATCATACCAGCCCCGGATATTACTGTGTCCGGAGAATTGAAATACAAATGGCGCCTTCAAAACAAGTGCATATAATTAAAACAAAAGGGCGTGCAATTCTGTGTGGTAAATATTATTGACCTTTTATGTCAATAATTCAGAGCACTTTCTGTCATTGTCATTCCCATGTTACTATCTGACCGGTAATCCACAAGCTTATCTAATAACAGACTACGCGACATTAGTACTACACTCCTGTTACGCTAGTATGAACCTCTGTGTTTCCCCTCTGACCTGATTTCTGCGGTGCGATTATGTGCATTACTGCACCCTGGTTGATGTCTCGCGCTACCGTGAGAAAGTCCGAGAGATGGCAACAGAAACCAAAATCAGCAAACAAACTTGTAATCATGCATATTTTGGTGAATACGAAGATTCTACGACATTTTATCGTTACTCTAGACAATTGCTGTTACTCAAGCAATAACGGTAGGTATCATGAAAGTGGGGAAAACACTGGAAAACTCTCGTAATAATTACTTTAATTATCAGTTTTAGGACTTGTCATCACCTCAAATGTTAACATAAGTACTGAGGGTAGGAACAATGCTATGCAGCAGTGGCGCTCATAGGGTGTAAGTCCTCCAGGGTACTGCCGGAACGTACCCTGGTAACTATCTGATATGGTTAGGGTTAGGGTTAGGGTTAGGGTTAGGGTTAGGGAGTAGGCGTAGGCATATTAGATAGTACCAGGGTACGTTCCGGTATACCGGACCGTACCCTGGGGGACGTAGACCCTCTCAGCAGCAGTGGCCTTATCACCATTTCAGGTCCGAAATGCTGGGTCGTGTTAGGAGAAGCAACAGGCGCTGTGACAGCATCGCACCTGCTAGTAAGGACTGCATTTCTATGTGTGTAACCCTCCGGTGTGGGTCACCACTCTGAGGACGTGGTGCGAACGCCAACTGCAGTGCCAGCGAACCAGAGATGAAGTGCATCTCAGCACCGTCCTCTCGCCAGTCGTGCAGCACCCACAGCCTGTCTTCGTTGTGTACAGCATCACTGCCCTGTGCCTCCAGTATGGCAACAAACTCTGCAGTGAGAGCAACGAGCAAGAATCAGTATAGTGCTACCACTATTACACCATAACCCTGCGCATAGGATGGCCAGTAGATCAAATGTGACCTGTCACAAATTAATTGCAGGAGTAAAATTGTAGGACTCATGACAAGCTTATACGCACATTGAGGCAAACACATACTGCATTACGCATGTAGTAACTACTCTTTATCACATTATAATTTGGAGCTTTACTTCCATGTGCTCAACATCATGCACGCTTCAACATTCAGAACCGAGATTTACACGGTGCCACATCTGAGAATTTATATAATCAAGATATATCAGGGGTAGAAATTAGTTTGAAAATTTACAGGCCAGCCGGGCCTGTAGGTAAGGGATTTTACAGGCCCGCCAGGCAAATTTTACAGGCCGGAGACAGTTTCGCATGCTAAGGGTGGATTTTCTACCGTCCCGTCATGCTTGCTAGTATTAGAAATGTCAGGCCCGAGCCTTAAAATATGAGCATCGGGCCCACGCGCCCCTTAGGATTTCGACCCATGTATATCATAGTAATCACCATAAGCCAGGTCATCCTCAGCATCCTCATCTTGTATACTTTCATCCAGAGCCAGCAACTCCCTCTCCAACTCCCTGTAGATTGAATCATCGAATGCACGCATGGGAACCCGTGGACAGGCAGAGACGTCCTATCCCATGAAACATCAAGTGTCACATCACACAGTTAAAAATGAAGTGGCTTAACATTTGGAATCATGGCCATGGTCATGCCACATGGCAGAGGCTATAATCTGTGATGTATGGGGCACATATCGCATAGAGGCAATGCAGTGTATGGGGAACACATTAGATAGACTATATAGAGGGTTATGTGATGGCTACACTGACACAATATGTGACTATTAAATAATCTATTTATTTTGCTATAATAATTAAACATTTTATGTATCACACACTATTTTTTTGTTTTTTATGATGCTATTTATTAAAACAGCAGTACCAATGCTACAGAAGAACAAGTCGTTGTGAAACTTACGGTGACGCTAGCAATGCTGTGAGGTTGGACGGGCAACTCCAAGGATTCCCCGACGGCTGGCATTTGATCTAAAACTACTTCCTTTGGTTTTTCTGTCTGGTCATCAGCATTGAAGACACTATCATCCATCTGCACATCATCCATATGCAAGTATAGACCAGTCTGGTGCTCCTGCATGTCTACTATCGAATTATCACAAGTTTCCCTTCCCAGAGAAGCAGCAGAGGCATTGTCACCCACGTGTATAGCACCATCGCTCTGAGACGATGCCTCAGTAGGTTCAGTACATCCGAGGCTTGCATCGCCAGATGACAGGGAGAAGGTGGTATTTAAACATGCTGCTGTCTTAGCCGAAGTGCCTGGATTCTTTTCCTCTGTGGATGAAGGTGGGGCTTCTGCAGCAACGTTTACCCCTGAGGGCTTCGGCTCTGCCTCAGTATTTCCAAAGTCAACAGTGCATGGCTCTCCCTTGTCTGAAGAACCATCAGTCTGAGATGATGCCTGTGTGGGCTCGGCCTGTCTGAGGCTTGTATCACCAGATGCCAAGGAGAATGTGGTATTGCGACATGCCTTAGTAGTTCCCAAGTCAATAGTGCATGGCTCTCCCTTGTCTGAAACACCATCGGTCTGAGACGTTGCCTCAGTGGGCTCAGTACATCCTATGCTTGCATCGCCAGATGACAGGGAGAAGGTGGTACTTGGACTTGCTGTTGTCTTCGTTGAAGTGCCTGGATTCTTTTCCTCTGTAGATGAAGGTGGGGTTTCTTCAGCAACGTTTACCCCTGAGGGCAATGGCTCTGCCCCAGTAGTTTCAAAGTCAACAGCGTGTGGCTCTCCCTTGTCTGAAAAACCAGGTTCCTGCTGTGCAGCTTTATTGGTGGACGTTTTAACTTCCTCGAACTGCACGTCCTCTACCGAACACAAGACACTTGATTCCACAGCCGTAGCACGTGTTGCCAAGGCAGCCACTGGCAGCTGTGGGTGGGATGCATCGAGGGATGCATCAAGGCGTAACTTCTTCACATCGGGATCGTCACCACGGTCTTCTGACGCGGGAGGTTTGCCACGCTTTGTCGCCGAGTCTCTCACAGGTTCACTCGCTACCTCGGCGCCAGGGTGAGTAACATCATCCCCGCACTGCCCCACCTGGTGTGCCTGAGGCTCAAGCCGAGAGGCTCCGGCACGCACCGGACCTCACGACGGCGTGGTCCTCACGGGCATCTGTGTCGAGATAGGAAGACCGATACGTCGCTTCGCAAACGCGAATCGCTCTCACCCGAATGGCAGTCGATGTTCGCCTCTTGTGGGCCGGGCGGAGGTGCGGGGGGGGGAGCTGCTGTTCCACGGGGGTGTCGCAGACCGTACGGCGGGTAGGCGTCTCGCTCGCCGTACGGCCTCGTGGGCGCCCCGTATCGGGAAGATACTCCCCACCCAGAACTAACGATTGGGGAAAGGCCTCACTACATTGCGAGGAACTTGACACTATCTGAATGCTAGGAGAAGGAGCCAGCGACATTGAATCGTCCCTACCTGGGGCACACAATTGTCAGTGGCGTTGATGCATGAGAACCCGATCCGGATTCTTCTTGCAGAAACACGCTGATCCGCTTCCCCTCAAAATTTGCAGCATTGCTGTCCAGTGAGCTGGGGCGGGGGCCGAGAGTGCGAGGACGAGAGTGCGGAGGCGATGGTACAGTGCGCGCGCTCTCGGGGGGGGGCGCGCGGTCGATTCTTCGACGCTGAGTCGGAGACACGGGGGCTGGGAAGAGAGAGGCAGGGGGGCGGAGCGATGCCGGGCTTGTCTTTCCAACGCGCCGTATTCACCATGTGCTGCTCTGACGAACGCTGCAGCCTCGTCGCCATAAGAGAGGAGTGGTTCAGATTTGCTGGCGCTGACTAGCAGTCGAACACCTCCTGTAATGATGCGACCGTCCTCAGCCACTTTACTGGGCGGGAGGACTGAGGGAATGTCCTCCTATTCGCTGAACGAGCTGCACTTGGAACGGCTGTGGCGCAAAGACGGTGCAGCACGGTGCTCCTCCGTGAGTGAGTGCCTTGCACCAACATCAGATCCAGTTTGCCTGTTCCGGGGGCATTGCCTCGTTCGTGTAACATGGGCTGAACACGCGGAGGGAGCTGCGAATGCACCCGAGTTACAGCGGCTTTCGCTCGTTCCCCGCGTCCGGGCCTTACCCCACGACATCTCCGCGTTACTCCCTCCATGCTGAGACCCGCACTTCCCATTCTGCCAGTTCGGCATTATGGGGGGGGGGCGCCAATTCCGGGGGCGTTCAGCTCCTAGATTCTGACAAAATGCTATGCGTAGGCTCTTGCAGGCAGACTATTGAGTGGCATCCAACCACTCAAAACGCGTCGAACGAATATCACGCAGTGGGCTCGCGGTCGCGTCGACGCCGGGCCAGATGGCACAGTGGCCACGAGCGTGTGCTTCTGAACAGGGGCCTACTACTCGCCGGGTGCGCAAGACAACCTCACTGTTCGTGCATTCTGTTTCAGCGGGCTGATTTGTGCCGCTGGTATAGCCGATGCGGAAAGCTTCGAGTCGAGTATGCTCCCGCTCATGGAGACTTCGCAGCCGACAGTCGGAGGCACGTTTTCAGATGTTTTTCAGATCCTGCCGTTGCGTTTGCTGCCTGCACTATTGTGACATTTAGTCTTTTCCTCGTCAAGATGTGGCTTCCGGCAAGCAGCTCCCCCCGTGCTTTCGGAGTGCTGTTTAGGAAGGAGTCCGCCACTGTGTTTTCCTCTGCAAACATCGTAGTTTGCCACTTGCTCTAAGTAGCAAGCTGGATCTGCTCGCATCCTGTACCTCACAATGAGGCAGCGATGTTGCCAGAACACAAGAGAGAGTCGTCATTGCCAGCATTGTAGGGTTGAAACGAGAATATTTTGCCTTCGGGACTCTCCCTCTTTGCGTAGCAAGGCTTAAGCAGCCTGCAGACTGCCAAAGTTTGCTGACGAAGCCAAGTAGTGAGTTCCATTCAAAATCACCCTGCTCGGTTCTGTTCAGCGCATACACCCTCTCCTGTTGCCAACACTGCCTGTTGATCGTTAGATCTCAATGCCTGCTTCAGGTTTATCCAGAGGACTAATTCCCTCTCAACACAGTCAACCCATTTGTCATCGCATCGAAAACAATCCTTCTTGTTTCATTAGTTTGTAGAAAACACCCTGATTTCTCGAGTGAAAGCCTCTCTAAAATTAAGTTGGTGGAGTCTCTAAGAACTCTTTCAACATTGTGTCACAGCTTCATTTGCCCTTCATTAGCAGAATGATGGTGCGCCACAAAGCGAGAATTGATCGCCCAACGAACATTGAGCCCAGCCTTAGACTTTAGTATGTCCTGTGGTAAGCAAGTAGTTAGTTCCGATGTAGAATTCATTCCTGCTGTGTTTATTAGCATCATACATCCTTCTTCTGCTGCCAACACGTGCCTGTTTGCGTGGCTTAAAGAGTATCTCAATCTTGCTCCAGGTCTGCACAGAGGACGATTCCCTCTGCATGCATCAATTCCATGCCATTCATCAACCATGGAAACAGATGTTAGTCTTGTTGTCATCGTTGTGTAGCAGTGAAAAAAAACACAAGCTGGATTCTGAGCGAAAATCAGGATCACCTACGACAACATTGACGCCAAATCCTGTGTAGACTTGTGAAGATCTGCTGGCAAGCAAGTAGTTTAGATCCACGTCAAATGCACCCTGCGGGGCCGTTTGTTAGTATTCAACACCCCTCGCCTGTTTCCAAACACTGCTGTTGATGGTTAGCGATCTCAATTGCTTGCTTCAGGTTAGCCAGAAGAGCTATCCCCTATGCACACAGTCAACTCCATTTGTGTCATCGTCATTGGAAACAATGGTCTTGTGTGTCATCGTTGGGGAGTGAGATTACACAGCTGGGATTTTGCGAGAAGAGCCAGCGATCACCTACGACAACATTGACGCCATCCTGTGACTTGCGAAAAGTCTGCTGATGTAAGCAAGTAGTGAGTTCCATGTCAAGTTCCCCTTGCTGTTCTGTTGGATCATACACCCTCGCTCCGTTTCCAACACTGCCTCGTAGTGGCCTTAGTTATCTCAGAGTGCTTGCTCCATTAGCCAGAGGACTGATACCCTCCCACACCCCATCAACTCCATTTCTTGTCATCTCATGGAAATGTTATGGTCTTGGTGCAGGTTCGTCGTGAAAGACACAGCTGGATTTCTGAGGAATAAGTAGGCGGCGATCACCTACGAGCGAACATGGGTTGACGCCGAGCCTGTAAGTCTTTCTGAAGTTTGCTGCAGGTAAGCAAGGAGGTGAGTTTCCATGTCAAAGTTCACCTTCTGGTTCTGTTAGGTCAGTACACCCTCGTCGCTGTTTCCTAACACTGCCGTGTTGTGCCGCATTAGTATTCTGCATGCTTGCTCCAGTTTAGCCATGAGACTGATTCCTCTGACACATCAACTCATTTTGTCATTCGTCATGAAATGTATGTCTGTTGTCACTTTGTAGGCGTGAAAACACAGCTCCCTGGCAGGATTTGTCGAGAAGAATTAGCATCAACCTACCGACAAACATGAACGCCAGCCTTCAGACTTTCTGAATTTGCTGAGGTAAGCAATAAGTGATCATGTCAAATTCACCTTGCTGTCTGTTAGGGGTCGATACACCCTCTCTGTATCCAAAACGACTGACTGCTTGCATGTTTAGGGATCTCAAATGCTTGCTCCAGTTAACCAGAGACTGGATCCCTTAGCCACACAGTCAAACTCCAGTTGTCTCGTCAGGAAGACGAATGGTCTTGTTGCTCATCGTTGGTATGGTGAAAACAGCGAGTCTATGATTTTCTGAGATAGAATCAAAGGATCGACCATACGACAACATTAGACGCCAGGCCTGTAGATCTTTAGTGAAGTCTGCGATGGGGCAATGGCAGAGCAGTAGGAGTGTCCATGTCAAAGGTCATCCTGCCTGGTTCTGTGGGGTCAACACCCTCGTCCGTTTCCAAGCGACTGCCTGTTGGGCTTAGTATCTCAATGCTTGCTCCAGCGTTAGCTTGAGAAGACGTGATTCCCTCTGCGCAACAGTCAACTCCATTTTTCATCTCATGAAATGTATGATTCTTGTTCACTCGTTGGGTACGTGAAAACATCTGCCGATTTTCTATAGGAAGAATCAGAGATTACCTACTACAACATTGACGCTCATCCTGTAGGGACTTTGTGCAGGCGTGGATCTGCAGTGCAAGCAAGTAGTCGAGTCCATGTCAAATCATCCCTCTGGTTCGGCTGGATCATACAGCTTTTTTTGTGCCACACACTGGCGTTATGGTTTAGAGATCTCCAATGCTTGTTCAGGTTTAGCAGAGAACTGTCTCCCTCTGCACTACAGTCAAACTCCAGTTTGTCATCGTCATGGAAATGAATGGTCTTGTTGTCATCGTTGGTAGGTGAAAACACAGCTGGATTTTCTGAGGAAGAATTAGGATCACCTACGACAACATTGACGCCATCCTGTAGACTTTGTGAAGTCTGCTGTGGCAAGCAAGTAGTGAGTTCCATGTCAAATTCACCCTGCTGGGTTTCGTTGGGGTCATACATCCTTGTTTTGTTGCCAACACTGCCTGTTGATGGCTTAGGGATCTCAATGCTAGCTCCAGGTATGACAAGAGACTGATTCCCTCTGCATGCAGTCAATTCCATGAGTTCATCACCATGGAAACGAATGGTCTTGTTGTCATCTTTGTTAGGTGATTCCATGGAATCTTGCAAGTGCAACTGCTGTTGGTTAAGGTTGGTGTTGTATCCTGAAATTCCTTCAACATTGTTGTCACCAGGCTTAATGCTGACCTCTTCATTAGAGGAATATGTTGGCCCATCAAGAGAATTACCTGCAACAATATTGGTTTCAAGCTGTAGACTTTCTGATGTTTGCTGAGGTAAGCAAGTAGTGAGTTCCATGTCAAATTCACCTTGCTGGGTTCTGTTAGGGTCATACAACCTCGTCCTGTTGCCAACACTGACTGTTGATGGTTTAGGGATCTCAATGCTTGCTTCAGGTTTAGCCAGAGACTGATTCCCTCTGCACACAGTCAACTCCAGTTTGTCATCGTCATGGAAACGAATGGTCTTGTTGTCATCGTTGGTAGGTGAAAACACAGCTGGATTTTCTGAGGAAGAACCAGGAGGATCACCTACGACAACATTGACGCCATCCTGTAGACTTTGTGAAGTCTGCTGTGGCAAGCAAGTAGTGAGTTCCATGTCAAATTCACCCTGCTGGGTTTTGTTAGGATCATACACCCTCGTCCTGTTTCCAACACTGACTGCTGATGGCTTAGGGATCTCCATGCTTGCAACTGGCTTCACCAGAGATTGATTTCCTCTACACACAGTCAATTCCATGAAGTCATTGTCATGGAACCGAGTTCTGTTATTGTTATCGCTGATCTTTGGATGCGTTCTCGTAAGGTGGCTCGTGATCATTGCTGTATCCACATGCAATATTGGTCCAGTAGGTTGTGCAGCAGCAGATAAAACATCTGTTTCTAGATACAGAGATTCACTGCAGCTGAGATCCAGCTGTGCCGGTTTATTGTTGGGATGACCAAAATCGACACTTTTGTGCACACCGTCATCTTGTAAAGGTACAGGCTGCTTTCTAGAGCGCAACTGCTGAAGAAACAATTTTGTATTTACTTTACCTTCTGAAGTATTCCTAGCAGCTTGATTGCAAGGTTCAATAGGATTGTTTATATTAGGGTAGTAAGGATTTTGATCACCAGCAGAGCTGAATTTAATGCCATTGTTTAGTCCCTGCACTTCTACATGCTTCTCAGATATGCAAGTAGTAAGGTCCATGTCAAATTCACCCTGCTGCGTTTTGTTAGGATCATAAATCCTCGTCTTGTTGCCAGCATTGCTTGTTGATGGGTCATGCATCCCCGTGCCTATTCCAGGTCTAGCGAGCGACCGATTCCCTCCGCACAGCGTAATCTCCATGGGATCATCGTCCTGGAAATGAATGGTTTTATTCTCGTCATCAGAACCTAGCTGCACAGGTGGCCTGCCTGAGCGCAACCGTTGAATAAACGACTTGGCAGTCACTTTCCCTTCTTGAGTTCTGTTCGCATCCTCACTGGAAGGCTTAAGATGAGGATTTATTACGACGGAGTAGGGCTGAGTTTGATCACCAGTAGAGCCGAATTTAATGGCAGTATTCTGACCCTGAGTTTCTGTATGCTTCTCGGATAAGCAAGTAGTTAGTTCCATGTCAAATTCATCCTGCTGGGTTCTGTTGGGATCATAGATCCTTGTTTTGTTGCCAACACTGCTTGTTGATGGGTTAGGTATCTCAATGCCTGCTCCAGGTCTAACCAGAGTCTGATTCTCTCTGCATAAAGTGAACTCCATGGGGTCATCGTCATGGAAATGAATAGTTTTGTTGTCAGCGTCGTTAGGTGGCTGCATGAATGGCTTCTCTGAGCGCAACCGTTGAAGAAACAACTTGGCACTGACTCTCCCCTCCGACGTTCCCTCAGCATCAGCATCGCTGTCAGCCTCGGGCTTCATGTCCTCACCGTAGCTCTGCGACACGGACCCTGCGTACTTGTTGACGCGCGTGTGCAGCACGGTCTGATAGTCAACCTGTTCTCTCACGACGTACATCTCATCCATGTAGCGATCGAATATCTCCTCTCGTCTCCCCGACGAAACATCCGAAGATTGCTGCTGCTGCGTGAGCAGTGTTGGTATGAAGTCTGTGGCGACGGGCTTCTGGGGAGAGAAGCCCTGCGCGTCGCTGACGCAGGAGGAAGCATCAGCATCTCGGTGTATTGGCTTCGTTAGCAGCGCAGCCAGACTGCCAGCGCTCGGTGCTTGTATCGACTGACTGCACATAACCTCCCTGGGAAAAAACACCATACAACGTACAAGAGCCGATGACAGATAGATAGCGGTCAATGAATAGACAACTCTCTATATACCTCTATGTAAGTAAGTATGTCCACACACCGTATTTTATGGCATATTAGAAACATTTTATTCCTAAACAAATGACAAAAAAATTGCTGTGCTTCTTATAATATGTGAAGGTGTACCATCCCATAATGCTTTCTTCCAACGGAGGTTCATCCATGATGCCTTCCTCTGACGAACCGCTGAATGCATTCCTCGTCGCCATAAGATGTTCAGATTTGCTGGCCTGACTAGCAGTCGAGACACCTCCCTGTAATGATGCGAGGGATGTCTCCGTAGTTCGCTGAAGCGACTGCACTGTGGGAGACGCTGTGGCAAAGACTGCATCACTGGTGGCTTCCTCTGATATGCCTTCCACCAAATCGATCCCAGTTTGCCTTTCCGGCGTTGCCTCGTTGTGTAACATGCTGAAACACGCGGCTGAATCACCCATTACACGTGTTTCTTCGTTCCCCCGTCCGGCCTTATCCCCAGAATATCCGCTTACTCCCTCCATGTGAGCACCCGCACTCCCATCTGCATTTCGCATAGGCATTCCCGTGTCATCTCCTAGATTCGACAATGGTATGCGTAGGTTCTGCAGGAGACTATGAGTGGATGCACCAAGCCAAGACGTGAACGAGATCACGCGGTCGCGTCGCGTCGACGCGGGCAATGGCACAGTGGCACTGAGTGTGCTGTCTGTCAACAGGCTACTACTCTGCGTGCGCAAGACAACCTCACTGTCGTGCATTGTGTTGTCAGCGGCTGATTGTGCCCGGCTGTTAGCGATGGAAACTTCGAGTCGAGTAGTGCTCCCTCTCATGGAGACGTCGCCAGCGACAGTCGGAGGGCACGGTTCAGATGGTTTTTCGATGCCTGCGTTCGTTTCTGCTGCACTATTGGTGACATTTATCTTTCCTCTCAAGATGTGGCTTCGCCTAAGCAGCTCCCTGTGCTTTCGGAGTGTCTCGTGTATGGAAGGAGTTGCGCCGTGTTTTTCCTCTTGCACATCTGTAGTTGCACTTGCTCTAAGTACAGCGTGGATCTGCTCTGCATCCTGTACCTCACAATGAGAGTCGATGTTGCCAGAACACAAAGTTAAGTCCATGCCAGCATTGGTAGGTTGAAGGAGAATAGTTTTGCTTGGTGACTCGTCCCTCTTTTGCTGTAGCAAGGTAGCAGCCTGCAGACTTTGCAAAGTTTGCTGAGGTAAGCAAGTAGTGAGTTCCATGTCAAAATCACCCTGCTGGGTTCTGTTAGGGTCATACACCCTCGTCCTGTTGCCAACACTGCCTGTTGATGGTTTAGGGATCTCAATGCCTGCTTCAGGTTTATCCAGAGACTGATTCCCTCTGCACACAGTCAACTCCATTTTGTCATCGTCATGGAAACCAATGGTCTTGTTGTCATTGTTGGTAGGGGAAAACACCTGATTTCTCGAGTGAAACTGCTCTAAAGCAAGCATTGAGATACTAAGCACAGACAGCAGTGTTGGAAAACAGGACAGGGTGTATGACCGCTAACAGAACCAGCAAGGTGAATTTGACATGGAACTCACTACTTGTTACTCTAGCAAACTTCAGAAAGTTTACAGGCTGGCGTCAATGTTTGTCGTAGTGATCTAATTCTTCCTAGAAAATCCAGCTGTGTTTTCACCTACCAACGATGACACAAAGACCATAATTCCATGACGATGACAAAATGAGTTGACTGTGTGAGAGGGAATCAGTCTCTGGCTAAACCTGGAGCAAGCATTGAAGATACTCAAGCACTCAACAGGCAGTTGTTGAAACAGGACGGGGTGTATGATCCCAAACAGACCCAGCAGGGTGAATTGACATGGAACTCACTACTTGCCTTACATCAGCAAGATTTCGCAAAGTCTACAGGATGGCGTCAATGTTGTCGTAGGTGATCCTGGGTCTTCCTCAGAAAATCAGCTGTGTATTCACTACCAACGATGACAACAAGGACATTCGTTCCATGACGATGACAAAATGGAGTTGACTGTGTGATAGGGGATCAGTCTCTGGCTAAACTGAAGCAAGCATTGAGATCCTAACCATCACAGGCAGTGTTGGAAACAGGACGAGGGTGTATGATCCTAACAAACCCAGCAGGGTGAATTTGACATGGATCTAACTACTTGCTTGCCACAGCAGACTTCACAAAGTCTACAGGATGGCGTCATAGTTGTCGTAGGTGATCCTGATTCTTCCTCAGAAAATTCAGCTGTGTTTTCACACTACAACGATGAAACAAGACAATTCGTTTCCATGGTGATGAATCATGGAATTGACTGCATGCAGAGGGAATCAGTCTCTGGTCAGACCTGGAGCAGCATTGAGATACTAACACCAACAGGAAGTGTTGGAAACAGAACAGGATGTTGATCTAATAAACCAGCAGGATGAATTTGACATGGAACTAACTACTTGCTTACCACAGCAGATCATCACAAAGTCTACAGGCTGGCATCAATGTTGTTGCAGATAATTCTCTTGGTGGCCCACCATCTTCCTCTAATGAAGAGGCCACCATGAGCCTGGTGACAACAATGTTGAAAGAGTTTTAGAAGACAACACAACTTAAATTTA